GAAAGAAATGAGTCCCGGGAGGTTCACCTCGTGAATGCCAACCACCAGCTGGTTTTGACTCCTCTCGCATCAATGGAGTGGAGATGTGGACAAGGGAACTAGATAATCAGTACTGGTAGCTGGTACCTGTACCACAAAGGAAGAGGTGGAGTGCACCGTTGCAGGGATGTCTTCTTGTTTGATCAATTGCATCGGTCACCCAATTTCTACCTTACCGTCCTCCTCCCCCCCCTCTCAATCCCCCTCAGCCCCCGAGCTCTTACGTGGTGATCTTTCTATTCGCGGCTTGTTTGAACGCGGTACTACAGCTATTATTGACGTACGTGTCACTGATTTGGACTGTGCCTCTTACCGCAACAAAGATCCCGTCAAAGTTTTAACCCAACAAGAACGCGACAAAATTTCCAAATATAAAGACGCGTGCGAGTCCAATAGCGCTTCCTTCCACCCCTATGTTGTTTCAGTGGATGGAATGCTTGCCCCTCATAAGCAAAGACTCCTCTTAACAACGCCTTGCTTTGCTACTGCAACAATTTTCTACTCTCAGATGATGTATCTTTTATGCAGATCACCGTACTCAATTGCCTTGTGAGAAGCTACCATTTAAATGTCTCCGTGGATCCCGCAAAGCCAAACCCTTTGCCCCCCGTAATGGTCCTCAATTTCTTGCCCCTGATCCCTCAGAACCTAGTCCTGAATTTCGACTGTTCTTTGCTTAAGCCTGGCCCCGGCTGGCTTCCGTAGACAATTTCCCTACTCTAAAACCCCCTTAAAAATTAAAAAAATTACATGCAATTGTGTGTCTTGGGGTCTCTCTGGCTAGCTTCGTACCGGTAGCTGGTAGTTAGTACAGAGGGGTGCCGTTAGTGGTCACCCGGTACAACTGTACCTCGATTCCGGGGGAAGATGAAAAAAGGGGGGGTACGGTATCCGATATGCATAAGTCTCCCCGACTTATGGGCTGCCAACAGCAGGCGGTGTGGTGTATGGGGGGAAGATAGCGCGGACTCTGGACCAGGTCTGTAACTCCTCTAGTATCACTCGAGCTGAAGGTACCAATCGAGTGTCATTTGCGACCTCGGGACTTCCGACGTTATCGGTACTAGCAAGACTTTTTGTCGGAGACTCCGAAATGCGGTGAGTAGCATACAGCATACCGTACCGGTACGATGTACATGTACCGAATTGCGTGTGTCATACTTCGTACTCCGTTTGGCCGGTGTCGTCGTTTTGGATCTGGTATCTCCTTCACCTTTTAAATTACTGATTTCGAGGAAGAGTGGTGCCCTTGACGGCCAGGACACGAAAAAGATATTGGGTTTCGCCGCTGGTAGCACCATCAAACTGTTTGGGCTCTGCTGCGTGCCGAAAGCGGGCGACGTTGCTTGAGCGCAAGAACTACCGCACGGTACTGGGGCTGACGATCTGTGGTGTTGCAGGTGAGGTTGATTTGCGTCCGCTCGCGGTGGCCTTGTGAGGCAACACAACCTGGGAGGAATCCCAATGCACGAGGAAGGAGTTTGAGCGTTTATGATAACGCGCTGGCGAAACACAACTGCAGCACACTTACTTCCACAGGTGCGAGCAAACTGCGTTGCCTACCAGCCACCTTGAATCTTGTCGCGGGACCAGGGCCCCCAAGTACTGGACTACGACCGACATGGCGGCAGGTGCGAAAGGATTCGGTTCTTTTTGAGACTGCATGGTTATGGCAGGACCCCCCGGGATTCCTCGCCAATGCCATACTTTATGCCCATGAAGACGATACAGCAAGCGGTCTTCCATAACATACCCAAAAACAACTACTAGAACATGGTTGAACAAGTAACCAAGGGAGTAGACACGACAACGCGAGCTGCGCTGTATCCTCGCAAGACCTCCCGAAGGAACCCCGAGGCTCCAACCAAAGAAGACACAACCCGTGCGGAACGGTATTCAGCCCATGACACTGAGGAACCACCAACCCCGTATTAATAGTTCTGGAATGGCAACCCAAAGCCAAACGGTTTTTGAGCAGGTGTGTCATAAATATATATCTATTGAAAAGTTCACCGAAATTAGCCTAGTCTACCGGGGTGCGTTTGTCTCCTCTGGGATTGCTTTTTTCTTTCATTATTTCCTCCTTAGGCTTCTGTTGTTTCCTTGGCTGTCTCTTCTGGGGTCTCCACCTTGCGTTCTCCAGTAGTAAGGCGGATTCCAACCAATCGTTGTTCGGCATCAAGCTTGACGACATCGGCATTGATATTAGGACCAAAGAAGGTTTCGTATTTCTTGACGCGACGTTCATCGGCCCACATTTTATAGGGAGTATCCAACGATTGCCACACCATGGTGAATGCCAATTCTCCATCGATTTCTTCTTCTCGCAATTCTTGCAATTGAGGGTATGCCTTTCCAGGAACGACCAAACCGAGTTTCTTGACGGTGGTATCCAAGTGTGCTTCATCTCCATATCGATGACGGGTGACATCCTGCTTGATTTTGCGAATTGTCTCGGTGGCCTTGCTTTCAAAAATGGCTTCTCCGGCCTTGGTGCTAAAGCACGGGACGGGTTCAATTTCGGCGTATTTCAGAGCGGCTCCGGCCAAAAAGATGGGGATTCCGTAGACAAAGCCCAAACCAGAGACTCCTAACGTTTCCGAGTTGTCACCCAAGTATTCGGCAAAGGATGCAAAGGTGGTCAAGAGTCCAGCTCCAATCACCAAGTTACCTAGAGAAAACCCACGAATTTCAAATGGTGGTTCTCCGGCATTATTAATTCCAGCGCCACCAATCATGGCAGACTTGGAGGGAGCGTCCCACTGAGAAAGATGAGGGAGAGAAATGGAATGATAAGTGAGCTTGAAAATAATGCCAGCAAATATATCGTGGTTTTAAGCAAAGGAATCAAAAACTTACATCGTCAGACATGTAGAGCGGCTGCGTTCTGCAGAAATCCATTGTCTGTCTTTGGGTGGAAACACCGGCCAAAGGTTGGAACGCAGTGCCCACAGAGAGAACTGCCGCCACAGACACGAGAGAAAGAGTTGACTTGACCATTTTTACGTTGCTTTGGTTATTGTAGTAGTAATATGACTAAAAGGCACAGGCTGAAATTATGTCTTCACTGCAAGTCTTCAGGCAACCTAACTAACACAGGTGGCGATATTGCTAGAGTATCTCGAGCAGCTCAGCACTTGCTCGGGTGACTCATTCCCACTGACTGACTGAGTTTGAAGGTGGCAACGTTGTTTTGGATGTCTCGCAACGAAGTGGAAGAGTGACGTGTTGGGTGGAGGTTTTCAAAAAGATCATGCTCCACCTTAGCCCTAATGTACACATGTTTTGTGGGTCACGAGTGTCAAAATGGTGACGTCAGTCAAAAGCCAAAGATCCATCGATCAGCCCAAACCACCAAAAACCAAAAGCAGTTGACAGTGTTGTTGTTGCCTTCGATAGTCTGCCCAAAGAACAAACTAACTAACAGGTAACATCCACCATCTCTTCTCCCTGGCCTCCACGATGCGCTTGCTATTGACTGTGTTGCTATTGTTGCACTGGAGAATATCCAGTGGCTTTGTCCCAGTTTCGTCATCTCCAAAACCCACCAAGAAGGCAGCTTCTGTATGGGACACGCGGCTGTTGGCAACTTCTCATGATACTACTACCAATAATAAAAATGAAGATGACGACACTGATACCAGCAGTCTACGAAGATCACTCCTGCTGGGTATTGGCAGTAGCAGTGTTGCCATGATGACTCTGGGAACCACCCAAGATGCTGCTCTGGCAGCCGTGGGTACATTACCCGAGTTTCAAGAGTCCAATGCGATATTGCAAGGCCTAACGATCGATGTCGTCGATCAATCGCAACTCAAGACCATGATCGATTTCTTGAACCAAGCATTTGGGTTTGACGTCCTGCGCCAGCGTATACGAGGATCGATCGAAGAAGTTGTACGTACCAAAATGAAAGAAAGAAAACATTATAATTCACTGGCAAAGCCGCTCTATGAGGCCAAGAAGCATTATTCCTGACAACCTCGATTTAATGTTCTTTTTCTTTTGTCCCTTCTTTTATATTTTGCAGTGGCTTGGATTTGGACCGGAAGAACTGGCCATTCCAGCCGATTTCACCCTCCCCGTGTCATCCTTTGGAAAGTACGGAGGTCACGCGTCGCTGTGTATTCGATACGATGCCAAATCCACGGCGGCATTGTATCGGATAGGAGATTCCAACCCACCCGGCAGCAATATTGCCTTCCTCCAAGTGGGAGTCCCCAGCTATCGCATTTCGCAAATGTCCAACAATGGTGGCAACATTTTAGACGCCTACGGATTCGTTAATGTCATTTCTCCCAGCGGATTGCCCATTCGGGGCATTGTAGGGATCCGACCCGATCCCATCATGTTTGTGGCCATTAACTGCGACAATGTCAAACAGAGTCAAGCATTTTACGAACAAACATTGGGATTCTCTCAACAGGTATATCCCTTTGCGCGACCGTCCAATGGCACGGGACCCTTTGAACCAGCACAACCCAAGGGATCCGTATACTTGGCGCCGTCGCCATACTCCATGGGAGTCTTGCTGCTGCCCAGTAAAAAGAAGGTGACACCCAATCCTGTCATGGACTCTTTGAAGGTGGTCTACACACCCTCGTCTGCTTCTTCGGACAATGATTCTTCGGATGGTGGTGGTGCCATGCAAGTTGTGGATCCATCCAATGTCAAAATCTCCTTTCAGTCCGCGTCAGATTTTGAACAGGAAGAACGTGTCACGAGATAGGCGGCGAGGAGGAACAGTAAGAAGTAATCAACGATTGCAATAATGTAGCTAGCTAGCGTTAACGTAACTGTATGCATGCATGAGGCGCCAATTCTTTAGACAAATTTGCCTTCCCCAACGCGCTAACTACCGTAGAGAGATAGCAGGACAGCACCCACCCTTCGGAGCCGTATTCTGGGCTACCGGAAAGCCCAAGAGAGCCCACAATTTCATATCTGTGACAACCCTGATCTCATTCCGCCGTCAGCACATCAAAAGTATCGCATGACGGGCATGATCAATCCTCGGCGTTGCTTGTGTGGCTGCACGCTTGTAGAATAGGTACCGTATAGGTGGATACAGGACCATCCTCACCATGGTCCATTACAGTATTGCTAGCTAGCCAAGACGCAGTCTTCGCTAGCTTTCTGACTGGCAGGCCAAGGAATATCGCTACCTTATTCTCAACATTATAGGGAGCTGTCCATGCCCGCCCCAGGGATGCAAGCATGCCTGATCCTACTCCATGGTCAGCGACGACCGAAAGTGACCCCCCTTACTTCAAAAGTGATTCCACACCTCAGGGCCAGAGATAGAAGATTGCTTCATCATCATCATCATTATAAATATCGTCCAACTCCATGGTCAGCGACGACCGAAAGTGACCCCCCTTACTTCAAAAGTGATTCCACACCTCAGAGCCAGAGCTGTAGAAGATTGCTTCGTCATCTATAAATATCATTATCGGCGTAGATACTATCATTGGGGATATAATCGGACGCTTCATGATTCTGGTATCGTATCAGCGTCTTGGGGACTTGGTTCCGTACCGTGACGCGTTCGGCGACATGATACAGATACGCCGCTTCTTCGTATGTGGGCATGGGCAATCGTCGATGTTTGCGCGGTTGCATACGTCTCGCATGATTCCACAACGCACTCATGTCATTGCGGATGACGTGCGGTGATGGCAATCGTCCAAAAATAGTGTGATGAACGACACATCCTTGCAAAAAGGTACCATGCGGCGATGCATGAATTTGATCAATGTGAAATAGTTTTTGCCACAACGCAACGTTCTCTTCGTAGACCATTAGAAATGCCAATCCGACGGGCGCCAATCGGGGTTGTTGTGTGTCTGGCAAGTAGGAAGCGACCAATGCAGCGTATTCCTGGTATCCTTCGTACGTCAAGGACGTAAATGTGGAGACATTGGTCAATCCCGACATGTCCCGATAGGGTGTATCGTATCCGTACGTGACAATAAAGACGGGAATGGCCCCAGTTTCGAGGAACCAATCAATGTAGCTGTCTTGTAGGATTTGCAGTGATGTGTTGCGTGTTTCTCGTCGAGCCGGTGCCCTGGTTCGATCATTCATGACGATAAAGTCAAATTGGGGTGGTCCATCCGTCTCAAATTGTTCTTGTCGGAAATAGTAATAACTGGGATCATTCCAACACGGATTTTTTCCATCGTTATAAGTATAAAAGTCATCATTGAGTTGTTGTTCTTGTTGATTGGCGGCATTGTCATCATCCCCATTTTTCTTGTCATAGTAATCCGTTTCTTGCATGCGAAGATCCAGTTCATAGTCGTACCCAAATAGCAGTTGTTCTACTGTACAAGCTCCCATGTCGTATCGCACTTGATGGGACGAATCATCATCATCTTGCTGTTTGGAATGCCCGTCGTCATTGTACGTATCAATGCGTGCCACTCCGGTATGCCAAATTTGGTAGGTTCCGGATCCCCACGTCAAAATGGTATCGAGCGACGCGTCTCCATGCAAACAGCAATCTTGTGTAATGTGATTGTCCGAGAGTGCTTCCATGAATCGAGGAAAGTCATTGTAGTACATCATGCTGTTGCCAATAAAGGCAATGTGATACTGCGGTTGTGGGCCGGGCAATGTGACCAAGGCAATGATACTCATGGCCACGACAATGGCGCCGGCGGCCGTGGCTTTTTTCCAACTGGCAGCTCCTACCAAGTATTGGTTGCACAGCAGAGCACGCAGCCGTTGTTGGGTTGGATCATGACTCATGTGATAGCTGGCGGTGCTACTGGGGACCGTCATGGTCTTGACTTGACTTGACTTACTTGACGTACGGTATGGACAAAGCAAGCAAACTATTCTTTCTCACCACACGAACTCCCACAAAATGTCATCTCATGGAGACACAACGCATTACCCACACACTCGATGGCTTTATTGGCGGCTCTTTGAGCTTGCTGCTATCTTCTACTGCCGCTACCTAGCTAGTGGCTAGCCACCGGTACCCATTGCAAAGATCCGAGGAGAAAGTGCGCCCAGAAAAATCTCAGCAGAGGTGGAAATTTTGGGCGCCACGCAACCGACGCTCTCTAATCACACAACAAGTAATGTGACGAGCACGGCGATGCTTTTTATTAGAAGCTGTCTCACATTGTGAATCTGGATTGTGGTTCTACAATGTCATGTAGGACATCAATATTCAAGTTCTCGGACATCAACAGCGTCGTCATCAACAGCGTCAACAAGTAGTGGGATGTGTCCGCTCCGTCCATTGCGACCTCTTGGCTTGTTTGGGTGGGTGACGGCAAGAATTGTTGTCTTCCATCCCAATGGCATCATTTGCCTCGCTCGGCTCTCGACTTGCTTGCAGGTTTATGAAGTGACCGTTGGATTGTTTTGTTTTTAAATCTTTCAGTCATTGCGATGACGTGCTTCCACGTCTGAATGTCATCTCTTCTGCGAATCTTAGATCAGAAAATCAAAGGTTTCACCTTGCATCATCATGGATCACTGGACACAGGCAATTGCCAACGACAACAATGAAGTCTGGAAGGACTGTTGTGTCTACTACTAGTAGTAGATCATCTCCACTCTTGTCGTCACTACCATTACTCTTTCTTGTTCGATCTTGTAGCAGCATGACAACAACACCGCTAGTCCCCAAGCAGCTGCGAGGCGTCTTTTGCGGTTCCGGAAGCGACGGCATGTCGGATCCTCGCTTGGCCGATGCCATTCTCGGCATGATAATACCAACACAGCAACCCAAACAAGAACAAACCAATGTGCTCTATCTGGGAACCGCCACGTACGATCTGCCACAATTTGCCGAACGACAAACGGCGCGGTTTCGAGAACGACACTGTCACGTCTCTCATCTCCCATTGGTGAACGACGTTCCCTCTGTCACCAAACTGGAGAATGATATTCGGCAAGCCCATGTCATTGTGGTAGGAGGCGGCAATACGCTGTTTGCTATAGATCGATGGAAGCGATTGGGGATTGTTCCATATTTACTGAAACAAGCCATGGAACGAGGCGCCATTTTGACGGGAGGATCGGCGGGTGCCATTTGTTGGTTTGATGGAGGACATTCCGATTCCATGGATCCCGACACATACAAGACTGCCCTGCAAGCAAAATTTAGCACCACAGCAGCAACAACAGTGGCAGATGAAAGTTCCACTGCTACTGACAACATCAAAGACTGGAAGTACATTCGAGTCCCTGGATTGGGATTCCTACCGGGATTACTCTGTCCTCATCACGATCGCCGACAGAGCAATGGCATTTTGCGGGCACACGATTTTGATCGCATGTTGCTCCAACATCCCGGAGAAATTGGAATTGGAATCGATCATTGGGCAGCATTGGTTGTCGATGGAGAGGATTCGTATCGGGTACTATCACTACAAGACAAACCAGGATCCGTTCTGCATGACAATACTTTTTCCGACAACGCCAAGGGACTTCCAGGGATTTGGATCAAACGGGTCGTTGATGGAACCGTCCAATCGCGAGTGTGTCCACCAAAGGGAAAATTGTCGGATATTCTACAACCCGCATCGGAAATTGTACAGGATACAGAGGATATGGAACAGTGTCGAAGGGACAACCCAGATGATGGACCTGGGTTGCAACCGCAAGAAGACTAGCTAGCTACAAAGCTAGCTAGTATCCTCTAGACTCGGTTGAAACGACGCAACTGACTGGCCGGCCTATCCAACACAAGCGAACACTGGAGCAATCAACCTCCCGACAAATCCTGTTCCCTTGGCTGAGTACGAAGAGTTTGTTTGTTGAAGGATGCATTGTCACCGATGGAACCGGGATCAGGTAGAGGCAATCCATCTCTAGATCGAAGATCCGTGTAGCTACCGGTAGCTACCCAAAAAAGACAAAGCAAGTGGGATTTTGGATTGAGGATTTAACTATTGCGACGGTGACGGCGGCTCTACCAGATGCCATGACACGACCATCCCCTGACTAGCACCATAATATCAACAAACATAGAGTTCCTCCAGCAATGAATTTGATAGACAGCTTATAGATGTATGTAACATGTACTTCGTCATGCAGCTAGCTGGTGCCACTATTAGTTACGATTCGTCCATGACCTCTTCTTCCATGACCTCGTCTTCATTGGTTGCTTCCTCTTCTGCTTGTTCCTCTTCCTCCTCCTCTTCTTCTTCCTGTGCTTCCCACCAACTGGTCAAACCCAATCCATCCTCGCAAATGGAAGCTATAACATGCATGGTGGCAGGCATGTTTTGGGATTCGGACAAATCCACCGAAAGACTGCGTTTACGAACTGGTTGTTGAGACTGTTCTGCCTTGATATTGGCACCACCACCACTGCCACTTCCATCGGTACTAGTGGATCGCATCATGTCACCAGGATTGGTGATAGGAGCTTGTGCTGTTGTAGTAGTGGTGGTGGCCTGCATTCCCTTGGCTGTATTGGTGATTTGTGTGAAATTGATGGTCTTGATTTTGAATCGAATTTCCGATCCTATTTCCATTTCATAGCGTTCATCGTCGTCCATCCAGACCCACAGACCCGTTCGAGTTTCATATTGACTCGGCCGTAACATCCAATAGGCTGGAATATGAATGTCCTCAAAGAATCCCAAACTCACTTGAATGCCTTCGGGAGTGCTCTTCTTGATGCGACCCGTACAGACTTCGTCGACAAAGGGTCGAAAAATAACCAATTTGACCAAACACTCGTGATGTGCCCCACCATCCCCATTGACACAAATGCCATCCCCAATCTTCAAGCAGTCCCCGTACCGACAAATCACCAAACCAACATCCATCAACACTCGATTGGGATACCGACGATCCATTTCCGAATGAATGGCCGTCAAGGAGGGAATTGATAACATGTTCGGGGAGATACGAAGCGTATCCACTACCTTGGTGACTATAAACATGGTGGTGGTGCTACTGCTGTGTTTGGTCTGTGGTCTTGATGGATAATAATAATGAGATCCATGGAGAGAATGATGATGCTGTTGAGTGTTGAGATAGTGAGATACTAGTACGGTAAATGTGTTTTCGTGGTTGGGGCGAGTTTTGAGAATCTTCTCTCCATTGTCCAGCTAGAAACGCATTATAATTATATTGCTAAAAACTTAGCACGTTGACAGGAACGACCATACCACGATGACAGCACCGCTTCCCGTCTGCTCAGCGAAGTTAAGCATCGTCGGGCCAGGTTAGTACTACGGTGGGGGACCACGTTGGAATCCCTGGTGTTGTTCTTTTTAGGCTACCACATTTAATTGGATGAACTCACCACATCGAATTGGATGAACACTCATTTTTTCAACATCATGTTTTATCTCTGAAAAAGATATTGAAATGCATTGCTCTCATCCTGGGAATGCAGGTTCGACGACGAGGGCACTTTAGATTCGATCCGCAGAAGTTACAGGCTGACAGACCAGTCGGAGGCGCAGCACATCACAACTGTGCAAGCATCGTGCTTCCAAGCATACCGAGTTGTTCCCTTCTTCGTTCCAGCATGCAGATGGCCTTCCCTGCAAGAAACGTTGCTAAGACGACGATGACGCCACCATGATTTCTGGGTTCGCCTTCAAGTCCAATGCGCTTTATCCCATATCATTGGCTTGTGATGGCTGATCTTTGCTTGAGGAAAGAGGAAAGATCCGGTTTGATTATCGTCCTGGTGAGCTAGAGAGCCTTGGCTGATTCGAAAGACGCCCTTACCATTCCTTGATTGGAGACCAGTTGGATCGGTCTCGCGAAGTGGGGTTTCATTGCATCCGGAGCCAAACACCGTTTGCGCAGTCACCGAATTATCTGCAAGGATAATTCTTCCAGTGAGCTGCTGCTGGCTGGTCCTTCTGTCTTGCTGCGTTCTGAAACAGGCGCACCGGTACGGTACCAGGTAAGTGGTGACATTCTTGGTTTTGGCTCTTGTCAAATTGGAAGATCCAAAGGGCGTGGGTTGAACGCGACGAAAAGCCGTACCGGTACAGCTAGTATTAGTACGGTACCACCTGACTGCCCTAACGAACTTACAGTCGTACACATAACCCTAATCTTGGTCACAGGCAGCACGCTCCTTCATTTTTGATCCACCTTCGGACAAAAGAGACAAGAGGCAAACTGAGTTGCGTAGAAGACCAAAAGAATTCATCCAACAGATTGAATCATTCAGCAACCATGGCGACGGCACCAACCCCCACTTCGAATGCCATTGTGGGCTCCGAGTCGGCGGTTCCAACGCTGCGAGTGATGCGACTGCAGAGTCCCGATCTGTATCAGGTGAGCTAGCTAGCTAGAGTGTATCGTATCGATGGGTGGTTGGTGGGTGATTGTCATTCATTCATTCATTCTCATGTCTTTCTTTCTGTGATTGTACTATTGGACGGACGTAATTGTACTTAATGGTAGCCTTATGCAGGATCGTTTGAGCATCGGTTCAGTCTCGGCACGGCCATGTGTTTGCCAGATTCATTGGGAGGTAAGAATGCCTACATCTGCCTAGCTAGCTATTATAGCTACGTCATGTAGATGTAGATGCTAAGCCAGGCCGAAACTGTGTTGGCTTGGCCCATCACTGCAGTACATCCACTAGCTAGGAACACCCTGTTTGCTCACCAGTTCTATGGCTTTTCTTCTCCTTCTGTCACTTTTGGCAGTGGTCTATGTTGGTAAGTGGTGAGCAACGCTATCCAGCTTGCTAGCTACTGGTATATGCTGTTTGGAGGGTTACCCCACCATCCTTTCTTGGCTATCACCCAACTTAGCCATCGGTCTCTCATGGAAAACTTACTGATTAGTCTCTATCGGTTTTCTTTGCCATTCTATTCTTCTTATGGTGCAATAATATATTCAGGTGAAACATTCACGGCCTACCTGGGAGCTCTCAATGTCTCCAAAGATCTTCCTGTACGGAAACTTACCGTGTCTGCTCAGCTACAGACACCCAGTCAACGATACAGAATCCCATCTCGTCTAGATGCGTGAGTTACATTGACTTGAGTTGCGGTCGTGCAACACAATAGGCACAGAGACCATGGAAAAAGTTGCTTTCCAATACTCATTATGCCGTCTCTCCTTTACGTCTCTGTTCATTTTGTCAAATGACATGTATGACAATCTACAAAACAGTGGCAATGCCGGAGGCGGCGTCGACGTTCCTCCCGAACAGGGTATCGACGCCATTGTTTCGTATAAATTGGAAGAAGCAGGCAGTCACATTTTACGCGTCGAAGTCGGATACGCCACCATGGATGGTAATGTCAAGACGTTTCGGAAATTTTATCGCTTTCAAGTCACCGATCCACTCGCGATTTCCGCCAGTACACTGCGAGCGACCGAACACGGCGTCCTCGTCAGTGTGGCGGTACAATACACGGCACCCACCGACAAGGCCAGTAGCAACAATTCCGTATTGTCGGCCACCAGTGGATTGGTCATTCGGGTCGCCGAGTTTGTTCCTGCCGATGGATTGCAAGTGGAACGGATTGGGACTGAAACGAGTAGTTGTTCTTCAATGACGACAAGTCCTCCAGCCAATGGCGAGCAGCGTCTCAGTGCCGTCCAATTGTTGGATCAATCGGGACGATTGGAACCGGGCAATTCCTTTCAATACCTGTTCCAAGTCAAGACGGAATCCCGGAATGCATCGATTCGTGGCATTGCCGCCGGTGATGAATTGGGAAAGGCCGTCTTTACGTGGAGCAAAACCATGGGTGAAACGGGACGCATTGCCTCACCCACCATTCGATGTCCCGAATCATTGGATATGGGCAAACTACGGGTTTTGGTAGGAGCCGCTGCCGGAACTGATGCCAATAAGGATACTGCTGCCAATGCTACACAACAACCCACAGACGAAGGATCCTTTCTCAACGATCGCGATTTTGTCGTAAAGGGCAGTGGATTGTCCGTCGATGTCGCTGCTGCCGCTGCCAAACGGGCAGCGGCCAATGGTGTGTTGCCCTTTCAAGCCATTGATCAATTGTTGCCCGTCACGGTGGAACCCATCGAACCACTACCCACACGGATGCAACTGGCCGTACCACACGAAATTCAGTTGCTTGTCATGAATCATACATCCAATCCACTGTCTTTGCAACTTCAGTTCCGACTGGACAAACAGCAAGACGAAGGACTGCTCGTGTGCGGACGAAGTTTTAAAACGTTGGGAGAATTGGGACCACAAGGTGGATGCACCGTGGTGACTATGCGCATCACGGCCGTCTCGACGGGATTGCTCCGATTGCAGGGATGCTACATTGTGGATCTTACCACAGATCGAGAAATTCCACAACCGCCCTTGATGGATGTTTACGTGGATCAAAACAGTGGACAAGATCACGTGGATATTCACAATAGCCAATCGGGCAGTATTGAAATTGTAGCGGCGTCGTAGTGGTGCAAGTATGTGAATGGAAGTTCCATACTTGGGCTGGGACGAATATAGGTTCTATGCTTCTGTTGCACTATTATTAGATAGTTGGCTGGTTTTGCGCGCATGGTGCCTGGTAGACTCACAGTTCTATGATGCAACCTTGGGTTTCACTCCTCTTGAAGAAATCTCAAGGTCCCACAGGCTTCCGTAGATAATCCAAGCAATACCTTTAGAATTTAACCCCTTCTCTGCAAAAATGTTGCTTTGGTGACAATCTTGGTTTGGGTGTTTTTGCAGGCAAAAATGAAGGCAATCTTGTCAAATTGGAAGATCCCAAGACGATGGGATGCACGCCACGATGAAGCCGCACGTCTGACTGGAAACTGGTTGTGTTGGGGACGAAATCGATCGTTCAAAAAAGTTGGTTCTTGGACGCTTCAGCCAGAGCTCACAATCCTCAAGGCAAAATCCTATAAACCAACTGCTTAGGGAAGAATCCATTTGCCCTCTTACGGCCATCACATCACCCAAAACCGTAACCATGACCCAGACCAAACTCATCAAGAAAACCACTTTGGTCTCGGCAGCTGCAACCCGTTTGCCGGTGCACACGTTGACCTTTGCAATCCCCAGGTTTGATCCCAGCGTCCATCGCGGTAAGTCCCACTCGGAAGTTGCCATTGACAAGGGAGATGTAGTCAAAATGGTCATCCCTGGATACAAACCCAAATCCTATTCCATGAGTGCTTTGCGAGAACAGGAATTTGACGTAACCTTCAAGGTCTACCCCAATGGCCGCGCAAGTGGCTTTCTTGATAGCATGAAGGTAGGAGACGAACTTGAATCCTTTGGAAAGTCCTCAGGGCGCCATCATAATCCAGGCTCATTTGTTGGTATTGTATCCTACGGAGTCGGAATCACAGAAGGATTACCAGTCACCAAAGCAGAGCTAGAGAAGGGTGACGCCGAAAAGGTAGTGTTGCTTTGGGCCTCTCGTACTATGGGAGATACGTTTTGGCACGAGGAGATCAAGGCTTTACAGAACGAGTATCCAGGAAGGTTTGAAATGGTCCATATACTCTCGCGTGAGGAACACCAAGGCTGCTTTCATGGTCACATCACTCCCAAACTGTTGGACCAGGCATTTCAGCCAGCAGATCGTGGTCAAGCTAGGTTCCTCTCTGTTGGGACCAAAGACATGATGCGAATTACAAATCGCATGCTAGAAGAGATTGGCTACCCCATGCCTGAGCATGCTCTCCTCCCCAAGTCTCGCAGCAGCCATCACCAACGTCACGGCAAGCACCACAGTCGCACTTCCTGCAAGGACCGCAAACATCACAAGGGCCGAGAGTGTGACAAGAAACACCGACGCTAGCTCGATAGAATGAGCTGCCGGAGTACCATGAAATCCCACTAACGAACAAAGGCAACTCGTAAGTGACACATCAAACAATTGATGCTCAGACGTGACTTCTTGAGGTCGCACCATAGTATCTAGCTTTAGGCTCTAATGTTCTAATCATCGAATAGTGCTTCAGAGAGTCTACTTGATGCGGTCATATGAAACCAGGAACCACATAGTGCTGTGGACCAGGGTGGATGAAGTCATTCAAGAAGTTCCTTCCAGCACGAGGTATCAGGTCCTCAACATTCCTCTCATATATCTCAGCATAGCTGCCAACAACCAAGATGGAATCTCGAAACATGCGATTTTGAGCAGGGCCAAACACAAAGACCTCGGGCATGTCATTGGAATTCAAAGATCCAATTCCACTATCCTCCGCATAGAATGTTGCCATGACCAACCAATACACAAACCAACTCCAGTCTGGGTCATCTTGTCTTGTGGCCAGACAAAAGTTGTCATGGTCAGTGTTGTAGCCATAGAAATAGGGAATAGAAAAGGAGTAGCCTTGATTTGTAGTGGGCTCTTTCACATCAGTTTGGAGGGACCAGGTGGCCCCAGCAAGCACATCAATTTCCCCAGAAGCCAACAGGGCATAACCATAAGAATCATCATCCAATTCCACAAACTCCACCGCCTCTGTATTTCCTTGGAAGAGGCTTGCAGCCAAGGCCTTACAATAGTCAACATCCATGCCAACATGTCCTCCAGTCTCAACTCTGGTGGCAAAGCCAGGCCTGCCACTGTGAATGCCACAATGGAGCTTGCCCCTCTCAAGAACCTCTTCGAACACAGGGCCAAGGGGCAAGGAGCCCCTTTCATTGGATATGTGCCCAAAAGGATGGGGGTACAACAAACCAGTAGCGCCATTGTTGATGGAATCAAGAGGACTTCTTGGGATAGTCGTGCCAAAATGCTTTTGATAAACTTCTCCAAAGTTGCCACCAACAGCAATGGCATTTCTGAACATGTCCTTGTATTCCTCTCCAAAGACACTTGTTTGAGGGGAAAGGTGGGCAGTGGCCTGCGTGATGTTCTGCTGTTCTGCAGCCATGAGACACATGAGAATTGCATTGACAAAGTCAGTAAACTCAGTGTCACCTTTTCTGGTGACAGCAACAAATGGTTCTCTGGAGTAGTATTTTTCACCAATGACATAATCTCCTGTAAAGTGAGTGCCATTGACAACATGTGATCTCACATAGTCTTCACCGAGGAACAAGTTGTGATGAGCCATCACATTGCAGTCTCCTCGAATCAATCCTTCTAATAATGAATTTTCGCTGGGTGTGACAAGAACAATACTTCTCATTGGCAGGTATTTTCGAATGATACCAAAATGAGTTGTACCCTCTGCAAGACACATTTGCAGCCCACTGCATTCACCAAGGTGCCTGAACCCATCTTCTGCACACCTCACAAAGAAAGGGTTTCCTGCCACCTGCAGCCCTCTGTATATGAACGGTATAGAGAAAGAGAATGGCTAAAAGGACAAGTCATTGGATACAGGTGGTCATACGGCGACTTGGTTGCAACATTTCGATTTCACTTACCCATAACACATCTCTTTCCATTGTATGTGCAACATGGGTCAGCACAATATCTACAGTGCCATTGGCAAGGCTCCGCAGAAGGTGACCAAAAGGCATCTTTTTGAATTCCACAGCACCAGCTCCACCCAAGATACCACTAGCAATGGCCTTCGTCTAATGTAAGCGACAAGATGTTAGGTTTCTCCGCCAAGCAATGATGAATGCAACCATGAATGAACGATGGTCGAGTTAAACTTACAAGATATGGGAATTTCACAAGGTCACTGGGGTAGGCCGACCTGAGAATGCCTGATGTCTTGACTCGCTGCAAGGTGGAAACATTGCTTCCGGGATTGGCACGAGTGTGGTCTGCATGCTTCTCTGATGCAGTGTCGTTGTGTGGAGCTGGATCTCGTAGATTTCCATCATCACCAAAACCTCCTCCCAAGCCAACGACGAGAACGACGATGACGGCGACAAGAACCATAATGGCAATGAAAGAGACTAGTCGAAAACATCTCGATTCGGCCTGACTTTCTTCTTCTTTGACCGCTTCACCATCAATAACCAAATGCGGCCTGTGTGGCTGTCGCCGGGCTGTGGTGGGAACGGTAACGGAGCTTCTGCGAGCTGATGTGTCGACCACTTCAGCGTCAACAGCGTGTATGGTTGCTTCAATTGAAGTGCTGGCAACGTTGTCCATTCCACTGCCGTCGTCGCTTCTTTCAGATGGTGTATCACTACCGAGAGCTGGGCTCTGGATCTCTGGAGTTTGTCCAATCCCTTCAACAGCGTAGGCTCCGGGAATGACGAGTCGGTAGGGTTGAACTGCATCCACCCTTTCCAGTCGAGGCGCCGCAAGAGCATCAAGAACCTTCTCTACCGACGAAGGTGGCTCCTGTGTAGCTTTGCCCACACAGACGTCATTATCTTGCGTGTCCACTTCCCGCTCAACTCTGTGGGTTGTACTGTGATTCGCCATCACTTCGGAGTAGTCATCATCATTATCCTCGCCCAGAATGTGGCGGAGAATCCTCTTCTGCTGTTCATCTGGGCCCTTGATCTCTTGCCGGTTGCCTTGCTTGTCTTCCATCGTGGTGTGATCGTTCTGCTTAACAATTAGTTGAGATGTGCGTGGGCTGCTGCTACTGTAAGCGGCAGGAGGATTTTCAATGGGCAAACGGAGGCGGCTTGAGGGTTCGGAGAGCTGCTCAGGTTGCGGAGACGAAGACAGATAGACTAGCTAGATGAGCCAAAAAAGGAGCAGAGACAGCCAGGTACCAGGTAAAGTATTAGAACCCAGAATGAAACCAAAGAAAGGCATTTCTGTATCGGTCATTGCTACATTGCTACCTTTCATTTCATCCGTACTCGAGTACCGTTTAAAGATTACTATTAGTATACTTGTACCTCATCGATAAGTTAACTGTATTCTGAGCCCTCCAATTGAGGTATCTAACTCTATTCTGAGTCCAGTCCAGTAGTCTATGAGTCATTATCTTACAAGCAGCCCACTCAAAATATCTCTCATACCTTATAGCCACTAGCAGCATTTGTCACATACCCAAGTGCTACCGGTAGCCATGCCCTCATACAGTGAGGAGCCACCACCAAAGACCCGTACAAAGCCAAAACTGATGAAACAAAAGATGTTGTGGTAGAGGAGGCACCCCAAAATGGAGATAAATTTACTTTAAAAATCAGTCACTCTTTGCTGAAATCGTATGAAAATGGGGTATGGAGGAATTGCATTGTAGATGGTGATGTGGAAAATAGTGGATACTAGCTGCCCTCACTCCCCACATAGTAATAGTATTAGCTTAGGATTTGAAACATTCTAAAGTACTACATGTAGTAGCATATCTTACTGGTTTGGGAAATCTGAGTGTCTAGATCTACTAGCAAGTACAAGTCTAGATTATCCAATTAATTCTAAACGTTGAGTACTGGGTAAAGTATTTTTAACCCACTTTTAATTAAACTTATCTTACGAGGAGTGAACACGCACGTAAATAGAGTAAACCACAAAGTGCTTACGTGGAAGTTGCGTAGGCGAGTTTACTTAAAATTTCAGGCCAGTGCACTCGTGCACCCATACTGCATTAACTTCCGCGGAGTTCCTTGGTTCTACTTCCGTGGATTTTGGCATAGTACTGTATGTACGAGTAAACGGTACGGTAGCTTGAAACCAGGATTTTTAAAAGGTGGCGTCATGGGCACTTACTTATTTCCAACCCAGCAGACCTGCTAGTACATGGACTTTCCGCTGAAGATGTGCCAATGAGATGGATTGATCATTCACTCTTTTTTCGTGGAGCCTTTACAAACAAAAACATGTACCTGCAGTTAGTCTACTGGGAAGCTAGCTAGCTAGTAGCTTTGTGGTGTGCAGTTCAGTGCAGTTCCACTACATGAATGGCGGATCGGACAAGACAAGTGCAAGAAGCCACGAAAGTGCGGTTTGACAATACATTTTGGACTAGCTAGATACTCAAAACGTCAAAACGTCTAGCCTTTTTGTGTTTGGCGCACAAGATGCAATCACACGTGAGGAGCTCAGAAGAACTAGTGTGCTCTGGCTGATCTTTGGACACGAAGGAGATTCCATCATTTTGATCGTCGACGAGAGACCGTTCAAAGCTGTGAGGGAGCCCTCTCCAGGAATGGCTGCGTCAAAGGCATTCTTTCATGGTGCGTGAGTCTCAGAACATTATTCGGATGCACCTCACGTGCTGGGAGAGCAGCAGAGAGAAGGAATATACGGTACATGTATCATGTAATGCAAGGGACAAGATCATTCACACCAAACTACCTGGCCGTTTCAATAGCCTTCTCTCCCCTACCGGTACCGAACGAACCGGTGATGGTGAAGGAAACTGGCCGAAGGTCTCATGGCTGCCGGTCACTGGTACACTGGTACAGCTCGTACTATTAAAATACTAGCTCGTACAACCATAGCCAGTTTGGTGTCGAGCCTGGCATTCGTGATCGTGGTCGTGACGCTTTGGGATTGGTCAATTCAAGAATGGTGTCAAATCGAACTAATCGAACACTCAATTGATTCATTCGAATCCAAGGGCACGATGACGCCCACTCCTCAGATTAGGTGCAGCATCAGATACAATTTCACCAGCCTTTGAACCAAGACTTCTACTAATCACAAATGCAGCTTTGTCTGCACTTCTGAGGAGTGTCAAGTCGAGCCAGCCAGATTGCTTATATGCTCAACCTCAGTTACTTATGCGATCTTTGAAATATATCGCTGCGCATGCTTGCTCTGTACGACATTTGCCTACTAAGCTTTTACACCACATGGTAATTAGCTTGGATCATTGTATTTTCTCCAACCTGAATATTGCGAATGTTGTGGGATCCAGGAAGAAAAAGCTCTGACACCCAATCCTACGCGAATTTCGTGTAGTGCCAGTACATTTGGTTAGCGAGGCCGATCTCTTTCTCACTTTTTCGAGAATCGAACAGATTTCTACACAAATCCCAGTACAAAAACCCGTAGACACGGAGTGCCAAAATAAATAAAATTGACTCGACTGATCCCCCGATCTTGCTTTGATTCAACGCGCGAAGCCAACGCAACGCAACCATGGGGGCCGGAACAACACTTCTTCAACCCAATAATAACAACCCTACATCCGCACGCCCTCCCAAACGACCTCGAGAAATCGCTCTGAAGGATCCATCATGTGAGTCTCCAATTGCAGAAGAAGAAACTTATACACACCAAAATGAACCCAATGTACGTCGCAAGCTGGACGTGTCCTTTTCCCAAGTGGAGCAGCAGCAGCAGCAGCTGCCTGAAGAATCTGATGAAGATGAAGACTTGACGATTTTGCGTCCTGGAAGTCCCGATTTCCTGGCCGAACTAGAAGGAGATCGAAAGTTTGACTTTCTCGGTGGAGTTCACCTGTCGGATATCGAACAAGAAGTGGACTCGGATGACGATGAGGAGGAAGCAGAGGGAGAAGACGACGATGAAGACGACGACAGTGAACCTCCTGAAAAGAAACAAAAAACTGACGATGAGGATGATGGTGACGAAGAAGAGGACGAGGAAGAAGAAGACGAAGAAGGTGGTGGTGAGGAAGGAGAAGGTACGTGTCATAATAGGAGGGTTCTGTTTGTTTTGTACCTGTCCACTCGTGTGTTTCCTTGATTGATCTCACTTTCAAGTTCCCATTTTTGTTCTGTTTCCCAGGAGGGGACGAAGAAACTGATGAGGAAGAAACAGGTGATGATGACGAGGAGGAAGGAGGTGAAGATGGCGATGAAGAGGAGGAAGGTGAAGGTACGTTGTTGATTTCTAAAAGAACATAGTGCTCAATTTTTGGCCGCTTTGAGTTTTGCTCACTTTCTGTTTTCTTTGTTTGTAGAAGAGGGTGACGAGGCAGGCGCTGCCACGAACGAAGAAGACGACGATGATGATGACGACGACGATGAAGAGGAGGAAGGAAATGAAGACGAGGAGGAGGGTGATGATGATGACGAGGAAGAAGAGGAGGAGGAAGACGACGAATAAGTCTGAACTACAAGGGACTTGAGAAAGTTAAAAAAGTAAAATTGAATGCGGGTGGGAGGGGTCATCAAGCTGGGGCAAAAGGGAACAGAAGACGGGAAATATGGTTGCTCAAAGCGTCATGTATGTGATAGAGCATTCCACGAGGACCAACCTTCCTGCTTTACACAGGAGGCCAGGACCTGGGAGATTTCCAAACGCCTTCCATCAAGTTTCTTCCACTTGGGGATGCCACCTAGCAAGCATAGTTTGTGCAGGAAGACTTGGGATTGGGAACTCCTGGAATCAGATCTGCAATCACGGCATTGAATGTCGGATCGATCGCAAGCGCACTGGGAGCTGTTATCGCAAGCAACTAATGAGTAGGGTGTAATCAGATTGATACATGCAGTAGTCTTGGTGCAGGTTGCTTTCAATAGCAAACTTTGTAGTTATCTAGCTAGACGACTGTTGTAAAACTTTAGTTGCATGTATGGTTTCAGTGTATCTACATGCCACTCTAGAGGTGGAGACTTTTGGCGGTTTCTGTTGCCAGAGGGTCCATTGACTTGTAGACAGCATCACAGGCAGTACACAGCTGGAGTCAGACTACTAGTCCCAACCACATACAAGAGAACCAAGAGCTAAGGTAATAATGTTCTCTTGGTCTTCAAATCAACCTGCTGTTTATAGGAGGTCTCCCATATCAGTTGGCCAGCCATTGGGCCATTCATTACTCGGCTCTCTTCCCCAGCCTGAAGTTCAAGAAGTCTTCTTGCTAGGTCCTGTTCAGCTCAAGCAAGCCAAGCTTTGTGGAAGCAAGTTCTATATGGTCCCCATGATCCAACCACTTGCTACACAACCACAGCAGCATCTGGAAGAAGCCCCCTTTGGCAGGGCAATCCCATAATGATTTGCTGCTATTTAGTATGGGTTTGGTTCTGATTTGCTTGCTTGGCTGGTTTCATGAGCTGTTGCTTAGCTTATTAAGCGAGTATGATTGGCTGGTGTTGTTGGGCCTGCTGCCTGCCTTGAGTGGGGCATGGGGTTGTTCCAAGAATGGGGCTGGCTGGCCAGATATGGTGGGAAGTGGTACATGTAGCTAACCTGCAGTTGTGTCGTGCTAAAAGAGGGACCAACTGGATTGCAGTGCTGGGCTAGTTTTCAATCTTACAAACACACAAATACATGTACTTTTCCAGTCCCAGGGTGCTGCCCTGTTTTTCTTTTCGAGGTGAGCTCAGGGAACCCTTCTTGGGAAGAAGCCGGCAGTCTCACTGGAACAGTTGAGCGATCGACGCCATGCTTCCGCATGCAGATGATTCGATTCGATTCGATTCAATCAGAATCTTTGCGTCCAAAAACTACAGGTGTCACCTTCAACCAAATGATGCTGTCGGCGCGCCCTTGCACCTCACATCTTGCTTGGCATTCCGATTGCGAGTCGAGTCTACTAGCTAGTTAGTCTAATCTAGAGGAGCCCATTCCCACCCAAGCCACAGACCCATGGATTTTTACTGAAGTCGAACAACTAACTTCAGCATACCGGTACTTGCTAGCTGGCAAACATCATAGAGGCCAGTGATTGATTCGATTGGTTCCGTGTGCGCGAACAACGTGGTCCCAAAATCGTTTAGTAGCTATCTAGCTAGCTGCTGGGATTACTACCAACTCTTGCCGAGAAGCAACACAAGTTTGCCGAGCGCAGTCATGCGGCTGACAGACTCATGAGATTCAGACCGTACCGTATATTTAGACTACACCGCAATCACAATCTAAAAAGTATTCATTTGTATTTTAGTATGTTTCTTTACTACAGTTGCTGTTGAAGCGGTCGCACAAAGACGGAAAGAATTGCATCCACTCCATGAGATGATCGATTCCTCTTGATCGACTGTAAGGACTGCAACGAAAGATCATCATACTGTTGACAAACGCCATCGTCTCTGTAGTTGCTCAAAGCTTCCAAGACGGCGCTCATTCCTCCATCTATCTGCCGCTCGATGGTCTCCTTGTTCTTGGGGTTCCGGTATGCCAAACTCGAGAGAGCCGCACTAGCATACTCCATGATTCCTGTATCGCCTCGGTGTAACGACAACGCCTTCATAAGGTCCTTGACGCCACCCAGATTGGCAATGTAAGAATTGCAATCGCCGCTGGCACGGGCCAAGCACAGGAGCGCCAAGCACCCGTGCTTTTGAACTCCCGCATGGGTCGGATGACCGCGCATGGCATTGAGAATCACCTCGGTACCCTTGAACTGTACAATGGCTGCACTCCCATCGGGTGCCTTCAAGAGAGCACTCAACGCCATGCAACCGCATTCTTGGATACTGGACTTGTCTTGGTGTCGGTTCATGGCAGTCAAGATATCTTCGACACCTCCCGCGTCGACAATCATGGCTCGATTGGTTCCATTCTGACTGGCCAGTTTCTGAAGCGACGCACAGCCGTATCGTTGGACCCGATCCTTGTCTTGATGTAGTCGCATGGCGTTCAACAAAGAATCGATTCCGACCGAAGCCGCGGCACGCATTAGCTTTTGTTCCGCACCAAGATTCATCTTTTCCAGACTATCCATGACCTTTTGAGTGCGTTGTCGTTGGACTCCTGCGTTCTGCTGCACACTAGTGGGACTGCAGGGAGACGCCGGAGCGGGTTTTGTGTTCTCGTCTTGACAACAGTTAATAGTGCTGCAGTCCATCTTCGGCGACGGAAAGGGTATATGGCTGGGGAAGTTGGTGGTAGTGTGAGAAAGCGATCTTCGTCGCTTGGGTGTTGTGAATGGATCGTTAGCTTGTAGACCAATGTCACTTCCAAAGCTATCGCAACTATCCATTCGTGCGGCTAGATTGGAGGTAATCTCAACCTCAACGTTTCCGTTCCCGTCCTCTGCGAAGTGGTGTAGCTCTTCGTGGTGTAGATCTTCGTGATGTGGGGTATCTAAGGTCTCTATTATACCCGATATGGATCGAGGCGATTGTTGGCAGCAGGAAGAGGAGATATTCAGGTTGAGCTCATCGTCCTGTTGATGCGCCAAACCGCAGCTCATTAGGAGGATCTCAGAGGCGTCTTCATCAGCCTGTGGGAGGCAACTTTGGTGATGCATGTTTGTGACGAACGGTGGGTTCTTGTTTCTTGGGTATCTTCAGAGAGCTTTCTTACTTTACAACCAATCTAGTCAGATCAGGTAAGCTCACTATCTTGCCAGTTAATCAGTTAGTTAATCCTGCAAGAGGAAAGTTTGCTTTTGCGTTGAGACGGGATGCGTTTTATAGATTGTGTGTCAACAACTTGACAATCTCCGAATTTCCAAACTATCACAGTGTCATCAACAAAGGAACACCCAGTTTGAGGCGAAGGTTTCAGCTTCACGCGGTGATGGGAAATAATTGAGGTGGAAGCTGGTGGACTAAAATGTGGATGTGGGATGCCCATCATGCTGGAGGTCTTCTGGGTCTGATCGTGCCTATCAATATCCAAGAACCCCCCGGCGGCATCGGAACATGCAGCTTCAGGGGTTTGAGGATTATCTCACTTGTTCGCATTTAGAAGTGTTCCGAAGCTTCAAGAAAATGGAAGCACTAACTGTGGTTGAGGGCCAGACGAAGGAGGCTTCCGAACGATAAATTTGCTCCATCTCCCTGTTAGCGATCAGAACCAGTTCAGACGTTAGCAAGGCTCCAACCAGTTCTCTCCCGTTATCGATACCGCAACTATTTCTGTGAGTGTTACGCCCACTCTCGATGACCAAGCAAATAAGGAAATAGAGGTTTTTAGGTGGCACTCTGGGGCAGAGATGGACGGATCGCCCAAAATGCCTCATGATTAAGGCTGGGAAAGTCGACGAAGGCTCCTTGAAAAAATTGAGGTCATATTGCATAGGATACGGTCACTGAGAAAGCAAGATCTGTCTAGCTAGTGAGTACATTGTACTAGTAGCTAGCTTTAGTAACTCCGGGCCGGAACTGCGTGTTGTTTGCTGATGCTTTGGTAGGAACGGTCGGATAAATGCGTCACACCGGTCCGATAGATACAAAAGCAAAGTTCAAGTAAGTGTAGCCACGATCGTGGGTACCGCAGCGACCGCACCAGCAGTATCTTGCTGGAGTTGTGCTTCCCGGGAACCAGGCCATCAAGTGGTAGATCCATGTTCGTGTGGTTATTGGACCGTAGCGCATGTGGTTATTGGAGCGTTGAGTGATGGCGCAGCTCTTACCAGTAGCGACCATCCTAGTCTAAACGATTGGTTGCTGCCTTTTACTAGTAGAAGGTTGTTTGCTATTTGGAGTCTTGCAACCTTTGCCTTTGTTGGGGGATGCTAAAAGCTCGTCGTTGCAACTCAAGCAGTGCTTGTCGCTGGTGCGGCATGGCTGTTCCTCTATCCCGTCAAAGGCACCGGTTGGCTCATTTCCGATTTCTATTATGTACCCACCGCCTTTTTTGATGGTTGTTCAAAGCCAGTACCTGATCCCACAACGCACAACCAAGCCAAAAGTCTTTTAGATACTACAGTGTAGCTACTACAGATGATTGTGGTCCATACGCTCCGCTGTACTAGGTTGATGATTGTTCCAAGCAAGATCTCTATGATTGCGAGGCGAGGAGGAGGTTTGACCCTACTTCAGTTCTCATGATCATCTTGTACCTCGTTCCCGGTTGGTGATTGCTAGCGAGCCCCTGTATCCATTTCGAGGAGGAGGTCTCCTGTTCTCATGATCTTGCAACTCCTCGTTCCCGGTTGGTGATTGCAAGCGAGGCCTTGTAGTCATTGCCAGGACTCCTGTTCTCATATCCTACATGTAGCCAGCACCGAGCCCACTGCTTGATGGAATGAATCTTCAATCATTGCAAGCACCCCATCATAGCAAGGGAAGATATTTGTTCCAAGTCCGGTTCTCATCGTCAATTCCAAGTGAGCCTGGGTCCTGTTCATTGTTACGATGAGCAGGTCTGTCCTCACTCCCGTTCTCATCGTAGATCGAGTAGTTCGTAACAGAGCTGCTGGTCCAAAGCGAGGTTCCATCAGTCCTTTCGAGGAACCCAACCAACGACCGTTCTCATCGTTTTGGATTTCTATCAAAATACTGTAGCTCATACGACGCGGTCTAGATCTCGTGGGCCCGATCGAAGGGGGCTTATGAATGATGCGTGTGATGTAGATTGAGCTATGCAGTGGTACCTAAATGTGTGGCTATTGCGTTTATTCAACGGGATCGCCTGAAAGCTGGAACCCGATTGCGTTTTACGCTTTCCGCAGCATGCGGTGATGAAGGATTAATGCTTCGTGCATGCGGATGCTCCATGCGTGCATTTCCCTGCATTCTTCTCGCTCCAATATCATCCACTAGCTCTCTACTAGCTAGTTAGATGAAGCAAGTGGTGTACTCGTTCCCACTGCTTGCAGAGGGCACAAGGAGATCACCAAAAGTCTCCTCCAGTTCATCCCATGAAACCCGCGAGCTTTGTTCCACCATATCGACTCGGCGCAAAAAGATACCCAGTGCATTCTGAAAGTACGGTGAAAAAATAATCGCAAAAGAGACATAGAAACAGTATTAGCGCATCCATCCATGCCAACAACAACAAAACAAAAAGATAAACAAGCACCACGAGTTTTGTTGCTTACCAACACGGCCTGCTGACACATGACCAATTCCGTTCGTCGTTCCATGTCATCCGTGACTTTGGCCAGTTCCTTTTCCCATTCTTGATAATACGCGGGTACAACAGGAAGCAAAAAAGCATCAATGGCCTTGGATCCAAAGAGCGAAATGGCCACAATCCCACCATACTGTGTGGTCACGGTCTTATCGGGGCCCGTGCCATCACAGAGCGTCCTCAAGACACGAGCTTTGAGTGTGGCATATTCTTCTCCGAATCTGGAAAAAGAACGAATTGTAGGAATAAAAGCATTGTTAGATAGTAGTTGTGCTCGTGTTTCTCGCCAGCAAATGGGGGAGATTTGCATCGTCGTTCGTTATCACTTACAAATTACAGGCCCGGATCAACGTCTGAGCCGCTTCTCGTCGCAATGCCCAGTGATCATCTGTTGGCCGAGAGGAGAGCTTACTGGCTACGACGCATGTCATTAATGATGGCAAGAGTTGGTGCAACTATCGTATGCAGGACCGTCATGTATGTGTGATGTGTTGAACAGCAGCCATCAGATAAGCAAGTTTTCGTGTGGCTGTACAAAACAATCTAATCTTGCCGTCGTGATGTTTGAGACTTACATGAAGTTCCAAATGCAAATGAGGATTTTGCAGCATCGAGAGAGCCAATCGGACCAACGTGCGACAATGATCGGGATTTCCCACGTGGCTCGACAATTCTTGCGAGATGTACTTGGTAAAGAATGGGACCAATTCCTGTAGCCCGGCATCTCTGGCCACACTAGCTAGGGCCGAATCTTGCTGTTGTCGAGTCGTCGGAGTGGCTCCTCCACGTTGAATGGCCAGGGTAATTCTGGTAAAATAGAGTTGCAATTCTTCCGACAAGAGCAGAGGAAGCAGCTGGCTGACCTTGACTCCATTATTGTTATTACTGTTGGCCGCCGAATCCAATGCTGTGGCGACATCACCTTCTCCCGCCTCCACAATGGCACGTCGTTTGCGATGATGCTGATCTCGCAATGAAGGATTCTGTGGAATATCCGGCATGACGCCATCCACCGCCAACCAATGAGTCGTCAAGCCCACTTCCAACGGAGGTCGCAACTGCATTTCACTCTTGAGATATTCTTCCAAATCAACGGCAGACGTCTTGTGGTCATCATTGGGAATGACGGTTCCTGTCGCATACAATTTCTCACTACCTCTCCATTGCAATGCCAAGTTGATATCCTCCGCATGCAATCGACGGCGGACGACTCCACGAGGATCGTCTTTGGATGTCAGATGCAGACGGGCCCGTTTGCAGTGACGCTTGATCACATTGGCATCTCGAATCAGATTGGTCAAGTGCTCTTCCACTAATTTCACCAATGTGCTTCGCGAGTTGTTGGCATTGTTGTTGGCGCTGCTGCCGCCGCCACTGTTGCTCGCTGCTTGTGTCGACATGGTGATGGTGATACTGGTACCGACTGGTACAAAGAGTGGGTGTCTTGGGGTTTGTGTTGGTTGTTGTGTTGTTGTGTTGCTCGGCTGTGTGTTGGATAACTTTTACCCTAACTGGTTGAATTAGGTTAGGGTAAGGGGTTTCATTTCGGCTTTCCTTTTCTATGCCAGCAGAGTGGTTTGATGGAGAATCCCACTGGACACATTCGACTGAAGCAAGACCAGTAAGTGCCGAAGTGTGACCATCGGGAAAGCACCATTCGAAGATTTTTGGTTGGGACATTCTGCAGTTCAGTGACAGCACCATGGAGACCCCACAACAAAGAAGAGGATGAGGCGCTTCCTCTCGATTGCGGCTGTCGCGGCTGTGTTTGCGGCAGCCTTGCTATTTCTAGACTCTCCAAAGATCTTGAACAATGGGCTCCTTAGCAGTGTGACTCCCGTGGAGGAAGAGGTATGATCGTATCGTGAGGATTGATTCGATGAAATAGAACAATTGTATCATCATCGTCATTCAGCAACTAAAACTCTCGCACTCTTGTTGCTTCCTTTCTTCTGTTCAGAACCATGATGTTGTCTTTCCCCGTCGACGCTTGATGCCTGGTAAGTTCATCCCCCGAAACAAAAAGGTGCAGCAAGCGCGTGAAGAAAGACGCCAGAAGCGCAGGCACGAGAAGCAGAAAGAGGAAAAGGAAAAGAAGGAGCACCGCAAGGGCAACAAATCGAAGGATGATCCGGAGGAAGAGATGAAGCAAGAAGCCAAAGACAACGAGGAGGAGGAAAAAGAGCACGATAAGGAGAAGAAACAGGAGAGGAAGAAGAAGCAGCTCAGGAGGAAGAAGGCCGAGGCCAAGAAGAAGAAATAGAATTGACATTTGGCGGTGGTGGCAATTGACTCACTCATGGTAGTTTGTTAGGATTATGGTTGACCTTGGAAGGATGGATGGATGGATGGATTTGATTGGTTGGTTAGTTGGTTGATTGGAGCGGAGGTACTAGTTAAGATAAAACCATGATCTACAAAGATCTGTCTTTGCCTTTAGCTTGCCTGCTGCCGACCATGCACACACGACACTCTTCCAGCAAAATGTGCATTGCTTGGCTTTTGAGGAAAACAGCCTCTTTGGTCGATGCGCACCTTTAGAATGGCATCAATAGCTTCCTACATGTAGCACTTTCTAAGGACGATGCGTCCCATCGTTGTGAAAAATGCCTGACCACGCTGTTCAAACCGCACAAAGCTGCCTTACATTCACTCTTTGATGGTTGCACCATGGATTTGTGAGTTGCGATCTTATCGGGGAACTATTTCATTCTTGGCTGTCATTGAAATTCAGCACTACTTGACTGCCGGAACGGTGTTTGGTGGCAATGTGGGATAAAAAACCTTGACTACGGTAGCCGATTGCCAAGTTGCCAAGTGGTTCTCTTCATCGATGGCTACCGGTACCGGTACGGAAGCAAGGCCAGTCTTTGATTTACCGGCGAACGTAGCCAAGATTCTCTTTCTATCTATACTCGGTGAAAAAGCTGTTGGATTGGAAATGTGGCTGATCTAGACTAACCATTCCTGTGCGGTAGCAATCAAAGAGTGTGGTGGAGTTTGCGGTACCGGTACATTGTACGACTGTACCACAGTACCTGCAGATTCAATTTCGGTCCAGGACTGAACCCTCTTCTTGTGATCTCGCCGGCTTCTGTTCTGTGGATACCGTTCGTATCCACCCCGCCGTTCTTGTGATCTCTTTGGCTTCTGGTTCTGTGTCCAAACCCCTCTAAAACGTTGGACTGGACTACGCTAATAGTCTAGCTAAGGTACGAGGTACAGTAATTCCATAGTAAATTCTAAAATTACAGAGTTCGCAAGAAAACATGTATTCTAAAGTAGCGGTAGCCGGTGCATATACAGCTTATCTTGGATGGAGAACACGTATAGCTCTCACTCTTACGTACTTACCTTGGTTATTAGCATTTCACTTCGTCTTGCCGGTGCAGAGCACCCGTTGTGCGCCATCGTTTCAGGTACGAACGCACTCTTGCGTCGAACGAAGCGAACTAAGTACAGTACTCGACGAACGAATCTGCGAAACTTTTTTTTATTGAGGTTTCAACTTGTGCAGAAAAGGATCTGCAACAAGAGTCATTCACGCCTCCATTGAAGATTAAAAACTGACATTTCAGCCTGGTCAACCACCAGTGTAGTGCTACCGGTACCAGTGTTTGATGTGCTACGAAGGTGCTAAAGAGGAAACCCACTCAACGGGTCCGCTCCTTCGAAAGACACGCATGCTAAGGCTGTTGTCCATCACCAGCCTCTGGAAAGAAATTTGTATTTGACAACCCTTTCTAATGTGTAGAATTCCATCAACTCTTGAAATGTTCTAACGGTATACAAAACCAATTAGTGCCCACTAGCTACCGGTACTGGGTTGCAAGTGTCTGATGCATATGCATAGGTGCTCTACTAGAGAGCTCTGAGTGTATCTCAACACTCAACTCAGGAAAGTCTGTGAAATCAAAATAAACTTCTCATATTCAAGGTCAGAAACAATCTGTACCGGATTTTAGACGTGTCTCAAAGCACCTCCGTATTAAGGCAGTCCTGTCACGACTGTCTATGTAATTGCTAGCAAAGGACAACTCACACCGCACGTCTTGTCTCGCCAGGATTTTTTAATCGCTCTGGCTCCAACGGTCGTAGACGTGGCTTGCACTTTGAGCTACTAGTACTTGTGCGCAACCAGCTTGAGCACTATTTGTTTCGCATTGCTGCCATGGTCGCTGGATACCGTACGACCACAGGACGACCACTGGAAGTGACCCATACACCCATGAAAATGAAAGAAGCAACCATGAACAAACCTTTGCCAAGCCTGGTCCCCTGCCCTACTTTGCTGTCCGTCAATGTGCTCTGGTTAGTCACTACCATGGGGGGTATCTTCGGTTGGTTGCATCAACAGGATACAAACGATATCAGCAACCTTTCCTGGGGTATAGTGATTCCGCTGTTGTTCTTCAACAACCTCAATATTTTCGTTTGCTTTTGTGAGATCGCTTTGGGGGCATATCATTCCTATATCCTGCGTGATTATCAACAAATGAAGGATCGCTATGTCACGAACAGAGACGAAGGATTGGCTTTCTTAGATTTGGCCAACATGCCAATTCCCTGGAGCCGTCTCTTCGATCCCAAGCTTTATTGTCGCATGTGGGCTAGCTATTGTTTCCTTGACGCGGGTTACCACACTTGTGAAAGCTTTGCATTTTGGATTGATGTGGGCAATGGCTACTCCACTGCCCCCTGCTGTCTCTTGATGAATGCAGCCATTGCCATTCCACAGCACGTTTCCCCCCTCTTGGTTGGATGTGTCTGCTTGGCCACCTACTGGCAAATGGTATACGGGACACTTGTATACTTTACAGCATATATTTGGAACAAAAGATACGAAAACAAACCCCAAGCTGTTTGCTGGGGCATTGTTGGCACTGCCAATATGATTTGGATCGTCTTCCCCGCCATTGGGATGTATGCGTGTGTGTCTATTTTGGATAAGAAGGACTTTTCTGTCTTGGGGTATTGATCAAGACGACCATGCATGCACGCGAAAGGGTCGTCTCTCCGCCTTTTTCCTTGATAGAATCTCACGAGGAGATTCTGTACGATACGAGTGAAATTTTGCGTTTGTGACCAACTGGATACTGTAACAATTGAGGAACGGGTGCAGGCTGGCTTTGATTTCTTTAGAAGTTTATTTTAAAAAGCTAACGAACGATCTTTGCTTATCGTTGTTCGCAGTCTGTCCGGTAGCTAGCTAGCTGACGAGATGCAAAGCATGTATCTGTCCTTTCAGGGTCGTGTACTATATAATCCTCGTCTTGTTCTGCGCAGAGATGATCTAATGCATTTGTTGGGATCAACACAATGGTTGGCTGTGTTTCTCTGACTCGCGCTTTCAAATAGCGACTCGGTTGGTTGGTTACCTGGAGCTATTTGAGCCACAAAAGGCCGAAACACAAAAAGCCAATATCCGGTACTAGTAGACTAGTCGGTTTGTGTGCTCCCGCATCATCCAAAGCGGCACGGAAACCGGAACCATGATATCTGGTTTTCCCTTTTTTGTCACCAATTGTTGATGTCAAAGAGCAGTCATTTCGACCGTGTTTTCAGGAATAAATCACCGTGGCGAGTTGGTTGTCTTTCGCCCTTGTTGTTTGTTTGTTCCGAAACAGGCAGTGTTGTTTGCTACTTTTTTTGCCACAGTTTGGTCACACCGCCCAACCACGCTGGCAGCTTTTCTTTGGGAGGTACCATATCCGTCACACTCGACAGGAATGCTTTTGTTTTGGGATTTTCCATGAGTCCTGTCGTTTTGCCACCCACTTCACCAATCAATCGGTTTGTCGAGTCTCCCACGCCTTCCATCCACTCCGCTGTCATTCCACGAACGCCCAAGTGTTCCATTTTGGCAAACAAAAAGGCAGCGCTTTCTCTTTTTATATTAGTATTGTTGCCATTCAAGTATTCGTATTCCTCGGTTGTCGCGTGGGGCAATCGAACATGCCATTGTGGGTTGGCCACTGCTTCATCGATGCGTCCTTGAACTGTGGCTTGCTCTTGACAGGGTTTGGTGATGCGCCAGTAGGCTTCACTAATGAGTTCATCGTTCTCTTCCTTGATGCCTTTTTGTTGCTGACGTGCTTGTTCTTTCAATACAGCCGCCATGGCCCGATCTCGGTTGGTTTGTATTCGGAAGAACCCCGAGCTCGTGTGGTATTCCAATCCTCTGGCTTGTGTATCTTGGGCGTGCAATCCAGAAGCCGCTTTCAGTGCTCCTTCCATCATAAAGTGTTTCTCCATCCCCGTATACCAAATGTCCAACGCTTGTTCCATGGTCAAGCTCTCGCGTCGTGGAATGGGGAACACCTTGTTGGATTCCAAATCAAACAAGACGACCATTCGACCACCGTTCCGCTTCCGTTTGGAGTGGTGACTCCCATTGCCCGTGTTGGTACTCGTTATGGTGCTATCACAGCCATCATCATCATCATCTTTCGGGTCTGGAGTAGAATACTGCATCGGAAAGCAGAGCCAAGCTCTTGGTTCCTTTGTCCTTTGTCGGCATTCAGATAGATGGTTGGTTGGTTGTGGTGGTTGGTTGTTGGTTGGTTTGTCCGAATGGGAGGTTTTGCCTTGGAGTTGCAAGGCCGTTCTTTGTCGTTCGAGATGGGGGGAAGCGAACAGCGGATCCGCGGAGGCCAGCATTCACTGGTTCACTATTAATTAATTAATACCGGTCTTCTAAGTCTTTTGGTTCAGAAGGGCACTGGAAGCACTCGAACCAAATGAAACTCACAGATTACACGTAGGTCCGTAAATACTCAAATCTACGGTAATGGCCAGCCACCCCCGTAGGGTAGCTAGCAGAACCAACCGGCAGGTTTTGTATTTGTGACCTGGTTCTGTGGTACTCCTCAGAGGCCGAAAAGGGGTGAAAGGCAGAAATTTGATTGGTCGATGAGTACCGAAGAACACTAAATACGTCAGGAAGTATTCAAATATACTTAACGTACCATTTATAGTTATTACGGATACAGTGTGCTATAAAGTTCGAAAATTCGTTGTTGTTTTCGGAGAGGAAGAAGATTCCGTCGCGATCGACAATGACAACACCACCGGCAACACTCGACAGTCATTATCTCTGCCAAAAAAGCGAGTAGCAGCAGCAAAAGATCATCATGGATAACACAACAACAACAGCTACCACAACTGGCGCTGCCACAACAGGAATGGGCTGCCAGAGTCAGAATCGAAATCCACAACAAGAAGAGAGCATTCCAACTCGCAAAACAACAACCCAAGATCATCAAAGAGAGCGAGAGAAGAAGGACCGCAAACAGCACTGGAAGGAGGGGTAGCAGAAATCTTTGATCCACTCAAGAACTGTGTCATCTGTAAGGCCAGACATCTTGGTCTCAGAGTCCCAAGAGATACACTCTTCTTCTGTATTAAGAATAACAATAACAAAAGGACAAGGACCTTTGAATGCGCTGACAATGGAGACAATCAAGGAAAGCAGGAGACTCACCAGGCAATTCAGTGCTCCTCTTCTACTGAATGAGAGAGGAAGCTGGAGGCACTCCACAAGAGAAAATGGAGAAGCATTCTTTGCTCCTAGAACCAACACAGCCAAAGCCACAGCAACAGCAACTCAAAGAAAGAACAAGGTAATGGCCACTCCAGCTGTGTTCTGCGAGAAAGTCACAGCTCTGGTTGAGGATTCCACCTTTGTGGAAAAGCACAAGAACAAAAGCACCACTGGCAATGTAGCATGGCAGAAGCAGTGTCAGAATCAATTACAAGGTCAACATCAAAGAACCAGAGCCATTCAAGGAACTCTTCGAAGGACTCACCAATGACAGTCCCATCCACAAGGAGCAATTCGAGTCTCTCACTACCACTCTATTGTTGGCAGAAACTGCTTCTGGTGGATTGGAATCGATGTGGCATTACTGTAGCTTGTCCGGATGGAAGATGCTGTGGCAAACTCAAGAATGATAGAAGCAACTGGTCCAAACAAGACTCTGTTTCCAATCTTGGCATTGCTGGACTCCATCTTGGTTATGGTGATGCATGGTCTGTGACTGCTGCAAAAGGAGGTTTGATGCCAACCATCGAGGTATTGGTGTCAATCCCAGAGCATGTTTCCTTGTTGTATCCAGTTGAGTCCAAGTATGCTTTTGCTAAGAGTGACTATCACTTGGGAAGAGAGGCAACAGAAGCTTTTGATTCTATCATGGTTACCTATGGCAATGGGGACCTATGCAGTCGCCTAATCTACAATGCAATCAACAGAGAGTATATCAGGTCAATGATGTCCTACTATTCTTACTGGCAAGGTAATGAAGGGAACCTCTCCCTTCCTTCCAAAGGATGAACTTACATCAGGCAATACCCTCCTCTTGGTGAGACATTCCGTGACTTCTTTGATAGGGCTGCTGCATCCAACAGAAACCCATGGAGGATCAGTGACAATGCCAGGCACACAAGGAAGATCCAAAGTGTCAGCTGCAACAAGGGTATCTTCTGTCAGGACCACACTTCCAACCAGTCAAGAACTACATGAAGAGAGAGGTTGGAGCAGTGCTGTTTGGGATGCTGCCAACTGAAACTGGAGAGATAGCTTCTGCAGTCCTTGTTCCCACAACAAAGACCATCCACTTCTCCCATGCAGCAATGCAGCTAGCAAAGAGGAGCAACTTCAATCCAGCTGCCATGTACAGTGACACCTGGCCCAACAAGGATGACTATTGGAGCTGCTCTTTCCAGGTATCGAGGGAAGACTTGGCCTGTTCCATTATGAGAAAGGATTCTGTCAACTTTGAGAAAGGGACATAT